CTGTTTTGACAGACCTTTGAAAACTTACCATTTAGGTAGGATGGGCCTTGTACAATGTGTCGAATGTATTATTTGTTATTTTAGTTGTGCTGTTATGCTTTTTGTGGGTTATGTTTTTAACTGGTTTGAGTGTTGGACTCAACACTCAAGTTCAAAACTCTTTTGGGCTCCACTTAAGTTGTTCTAGTAAACCATGCGGAGGAGAGCATGCCCAGCAAAGCCATTCTGGGTCCTAAATTGAGGGGGGAAATGCAGAATATAAAATAAAATAATGTGGGTGTATTTGCCATCAGGGAGCCAGTGTGGCATAGTGCTTTCTGCATTGCACTAAGACTCTGGAGGAGATCAGGGTTCGATTCCCTGCTTGGCCATGGGAACACACTCTCAGCCCCAGAAAACCCCATCATGGCTTGGCCACAAGTCAGAAACATTTGGAAGACACACAACACCATGCGTGTTCAAGTCGCCCATTGACTTATAGCAACCCCATGAATTGTGTAGGGTTTTCTTAGGCAAGGAATCCTTGGAGGTGGTTGTGCCAGATCCTTCCTCTGAAATACTGCCTATAGCACACTGGAGGTCTCCCCTCCAAGGATTAACCAGCGCTGATCCTGCTTAGCTTCCAAGATCAGACAGGAGCCAGTAGTGTAAGATGTGTGAGTGCTTTCAAGTTGCCTCTTGATTTAAGGTGACCCCATTAATTTTATGGGGTTTTCTGAGGCAAGGAATCCTCAGAGATGGATTCTAAGGTCTAAGTTACAGTATTGCACATACATTATACATTATTAAGAAAAGTACACTCATTTATAGACCATTATTAACTAAGCATTTCCTTCAGATTTGTGCATTAAGTGTTTAAATGTGATAACACCTTATATTTTGCCAGTTCCTTCCTCTGAAATAGAGCCGACAACACCTGGGATGCATTGGCAGTCTTCCATCCAAGTATTAAGCAACCATTTCCAAGATGAGACAGGATCTGGTGCTTTTCGGGTATTTAGGCCTCGATACCTAAATAAAATTTACAATTAGATAAAATACCCTTGGTCTGATCCAACAGGGATCTACGTTCTTGAGGAAAAGACCAGACCCTTGCAGCTTTCCTAGCTGAAAGGAAGAAAGGAAAGGAAGGTGGTTTTCAGGAAAAAGTTGGTATGCCAGGTAGACAGAAGCTGTACCTACCAGAATTCTCCCTTAGCTCTTAAAACTGCAAAAATCTTGTTGTTCTGGTCACTGAGCTAGGAAACCATTGAGTAAATATCTTTGCTCCCACCTCACCATATATATATATATATATATATATATATATATATATATATATATATTCCCAAGGAGAGCAAAACTACTCAGCAAACAGGTTCCGCAGGTAGTAAAGAACACCTGGTCCTGCCCAGGTGAGGTCTCTCCTGCCCATGGCAGAAAGGCATCCATGACTGGAACAAAAGGAATTTGGATCAGGTGCACAACTACACCCACCCCAGAATTTTTATTTTATTTTTTCGGCTTCTTTAATCCACAGAAGAGCTTTGTCCCTTGACAGACCTCACCTCCTCTTTCCTCTGCCAGCTTCAGATCAAATCTGACAGGTGGAGACATATTATCTATATATATAGGATGGTATTTTTTGTCGTGTTTGTCGAACTGGTTTTGACTGATGGTGACCCTCTGGATGAGAGACTGCCCTGATCCCTTTCACACTAGCACTACTGTTGTCCTTGTCGGGTGCCTTCAAATCATTTCCAACTTATGACAACCCTAAGATACAAAGATATCATGGTGTTTTCTTGGCATTATTTGTTCAGAGAGGGTTTGCCATTGCCCTCCTCTGAGGCTGAGAGAGTGCGACCTCCCCAAGGTCACCCAGTGGTTCCCCCAGGATGAGCAGGGATTTGAACTCTGGTCTCCAGAGTCGTAGTCCAACACTCAAACCATGACACCACTAAGATGAGTTTTCTGGGCAAGATTTGTCCAAAGGTTTGCCGTTGCCTTCCCCTGAGGCTGAGAGAGTATGATGTACCCCAAGGTTACCCAATGGGTTTTCTTGGCACGATTTCTTCAGAGGAGGTTTGCCATTGCCTTCCCCAGAAGCTGAGAGCGTGTGACTTGCCCAAGGTCTGCCAGTGTGTTTCATGGCCTCCAGCACCACATTTCACATGAGTTAAATCCTCTTTCTATCTGCTTTCGTGACAAATACACAGAAATCCAAAATGCAATGGCCCAGAGACTTCTGGCTTTGGTATGATATATCTTTACACTTGAGGATCTTGTTTAGTTCCTTCATGGCTGCCTTTCCAAATTCTAGTCTTTTTCTGATTTCTTGACTAGTCTCCATTTTAATAACAGCCAGCATGGTGTTGTGGTTTGAGCATTGGACTATGACTCTGCAGACCAGGGTTTCAGCCATGAAGCTCACTTGGGGATCCTAGGCAAGTCACACTCTCTCAGCCTCAGAGTATGGCAATGGCAAACCCCCTCTGAAGAGACACGCCAAGAAAACCCAGTGATAGGGTCTCCTTAGGATTGCCCTAAGTTGGAAATGACGTCAAGGTGCACAGCAGCAACTCCATTTTAATGACTGAGCCGAGATATAGATAGAAAATCTTAACAGTTGTGACATCTTCATCAGCCATGTTGAAATTATGTAAATCTTTAGCATCTTCTTCATTAGGATTCTGGTGCCTTTCAAGCTGGTTCAATAGCATAATTGGTTTACTTTGGATTTTAATGTGCATAATTTATTGTGTGCTTATGGAAATCTTTGAAATTATGCACGCCAGCTTGCCTCTGAACCCTGGGAAAGGGAGATGGGATCTGAAATAAATCAAGTCCTGCCCTCTTGAAAAATCAGATCATGGAAGGCTGGAAGAAAATCCTTCTTTTGCACGTTATCAAAACTCACCTTGCAAAGCGGGCCATATCAAAGGTTGCATTTGACATTGGGGGAAAATGCTAAGAAAGACCACTCCAAAAGCTAATTATTTGGGGGGGGGGAATCAATATATTCAGGGGGAAGAGATACTCTACTAAATTCATTCTACTTGTATTTTGCCATTAGATCAACTTTGACTTAAGGGGACCTCATCTCCAAGAATCACAGTTATTAACTACCAGGTCTTGCAATTTCATGGCAGCCATGGCTTCCTCAATTGCTTTAAGTCCACTTGTAATGCAATTTCCTCCTTTTTCCTTCTGCCTTCCATTTCCCCCAATATTACCATCTTTGCCAACAAGTCACATCATCTCATGATCTGTCCAAAGTATATGACACCCTCCATTTAGTCATCTTCACATGCTCTCATAGCTTGCCAACATAATTTCTCCCTTGTATTATTGGAAACTTTATGTATACATCACATTTCTCCTTCCCAAAACTGAGAATCAAGGCAGCTTGCAACATTGCTATGATTACAGTAAAGAGCACACACACACACACACAATTATCACTCATACGCAAATAAATTATCACCCGCATTTAAACCAATTAAAGCATTTTTTAAAAAAAAATTAAAATAAAAGCAGCTGAAAGATAATAATTAACACCTTAGGTTTATTTATTTTTAACAGCGCACACACTTTGCTGAAATGGAAATGGTCCTTTGCTACAAAATAAGCTGTTTTCACAGCTGTTTTAAAAAATATTTGTGCATAAACGCCGGCGTTCGAAGATGGTGGAAAATCTGGGCTGCTGCTTTCTTCCTCCCCATTAATGTTTGGCCATCGTGCTAAAAAGGACTCTAGAACCCATCAGCCTGGCTCCAGAGGCCCAGCGCACTATGCATCCCTGCCATTTGGTAATAATGCTGGTCAACCTTGCAGGGTTGTTCAAAGGATGGGGACAATAATGATGCATTTAAAATACTCTCAACTGCTGTGTAAAAAGAGTCTTTTTTATTATTTTCATTATGACAACAGGATTCTGAGGCTCAACTCTTAAGGAGAATAGTTCTATGGAACAAATAAATGGAGTTTGGGAGTGGAGGACATCTACACTGTCGAAATAATGCAGTTTGATGCCACTTTAACTGCCGTGGCTCCATCCTACAGAGACCTAGGATTTGTAGTTTGGCAAGGCACCATGATTCTTTGGCAAAGAAGGCTACTAAAGGGTTTGCAAAACTACAAATCCCAGTATTCCTTAGGATGGAACTACAGCATTTAAAAGTGGTGTCAAACTGCATGATTTGGACAGTGCAGATGCATCCTGCCTGGGTCACATGCACTTCTTAAGAGTTGTATGGATACTGGGAGTGGTAATCCAAATCTTTTCCTGTGCTGGGATGTTCACAACCCAGAAAAAGCAAAAGGAATCCATTGGACAGCAATCATGTGAGGAAGCCAATAAAATATATAAAATTGTATAAAATTTCATAACATTTCCTGTTAGCCAAAAATTCCATTGGAGGGGGGGGG